CAAAAACTGTTTCTTAAACTCATGATTTGCAAGAATGAAAGTGTATGTGTCAAAAACATTAAGGACTTTAAACATCAAGAGTAGTAGATTTCAAGAATCTCATTGCTGGCATAATGCCTTGGTAAATCACAAGAGTGGATATGGTATCACATCTGGAGAATGCAAAGCAATAGAATGGGAGAAGGAAGCGAGCAGTCCTATGGTTCACTTCAAATTTTGAAGGAAATCCTTCCAATTTTGAAGGAATCAAATTAGATGTGTTGGTCAATGTGTGGGTTCATTGGGTACACCTTTCATTCCCTAATTAAAATTATTCTATTTTGCTTGCACAAAAAACACAAGAATCCATTTACAAAAATAAGAGAAACTGATCATCTTCTTCCATTTACAAAATTAATGAGAAATAGAAGGCAAACAGTGAAAAAGTCTTCAACTTCTTTAAATAAAATCTCTAATCCACAGTTGTAGAGATCTTTCCTAAAAAGCCATTACCACTCAAACTCAAAACCATAACCTGGGTTGGCAAAATCATATTGAGAAACATGGACCCAAGGAGACATTCAAGAAGATGAGAATAAAATACTTTGTCAAGAACCAAGAAGTGGTGGAACCAAAAAGCTATTGAGTAGGTGGAAAGCTAGATTAATGATCACTTTGCCCATAAAAAGGACATTGGAAAACTAGAGAAGAAGATGGCTACCAAGGAGGATATTGGGGCCTTGGGGAAGCAGATGGACTTGTTTATGAAGGAAGTTGTTGCCCAAAAGAAAAGAGATTTTTATTTTTGTAGGTTTTTTTAAACAAAAATTTCTATCTTGTTGACATAGGGTTGTATGTAGAATGCTTGTCAATGGGACCTAGATAAGATAAGAAAGAACTTAAGTAGTCTAATGAATTGTAAATCAAGAATATTTTAATGAAATTTGGAATCTTTTTTTAGGACTCTAAAATTTTCCCAAATTTTCAAACTACTCATCCGTTAGCCCCTCGTTATCTCTCTGCCAAAAATTCTTCAAGCATAAACGAGGTGTTATCTCTCTTACTTACGGAGTCTCTAAAACAACTTGGGTTAAAATCTGCCACTGATCTAACATATCTTTGAACTAAGGTCTAATATGAGATTTGAGACGTTACAATCTCTCTTACTTAAATGCTTGATGTCTTAATTAGGACCAAGCACAATTAGAATTATGTCCATTGGGCCACATGTATAGGATTCACCTTAGCGCTTGATGTCCTGATCCAGCCCAAGTACAATCAGATGTCCTGATCAAGCCCAAGTACAATCAGATGTCTTGATCAAGCCCAAGTACAATCTGTCCCATAATATATTTTTTTTAGTTAATTAATTTCACATAGAACATCATTCAAACTAATGTTAAAACCTAAAACCATCCTTGATGGGGGGTGAATTCCTAGAGCACATAGCCAATGCATCATATGCATTTGCTTTATAGCTAAAACATCAAAATCATTCCAAGTATATATAGAAATCTATCAACCCCCAACACACAAAAATGAAAATTCAAAAAAAAAAGAAGAAAAAGAATCGATTGATAAGACAATAAGTTATAACAAAAAGATCTAAAATATATATTAATTAAAGTAAATCTTATCATGTCACATCATCTACTTAAAAATTTATAAAAGAACTTAAACAATGCCCTTAAAATATTATAAATACTATGGCAGATTTCAAACTTAAAAGTCCTAAACAAAAATGTAAAGATAAACAAACTAATCATCAGATTCAGATCAGATACAGATACTTTACCAACTCACTTTTCTCCATCAACACCATTGGTCTTTGGCTTTCCATTTTCCTTTAAAATTTTCAAGATCTTCAACAGTTGTGTTTCGATTTTCCCAATATTTTTCTCAAGCTTCCCAAGGTTGGGCCTTTTGCCTAGATTGCCACTCGCATCCACAGGAAGGTCTCCATTTGATCATTCATTATGGCTTTGTCAAGATCAACTAGATGGAAGTTCTCCTTCACCTTCTTCCAGGTCATACTTGGTCGATGCTTGACAAGCGAATCAAGCGTAGATGCAGTATCTAGGGTTGTTCATATCCGATCCAATTTAATCGATTCGACCTAAACTGATGTAATCCAATAAAAAACTAAATTAAACCGATATAAAATTGGGTTGGTTTGGATTATAAAATTTTTAAACTGATATAAGTGGTTTGGTTTGTGGTTTTACTTTTAAACTGTTTGAATCACTCAATTACAATTCGATTAGAAGATAATTAAATTAAATAATATAATATTTTTTTAGTAATATTTTAAATTTTTTTCTTATTTTACAAGATGATAACTTCATTAACTTAATTAAAAATAAAAATAAAATATCCCCATATTCTCTAATCTATTTTTCTTTCTAAATCATGCACTCTAATCCTAATTCTAAATTTCCAATTCACATGCAACTCTATCCCTTAGAACTAGTCTACGACTCTACTCTTACAATCCTAAATTTTTAATTTGTTCTTAAAATAATATTATGATTCTCCTAACTAAACTTTAAGAAGTATCATTCTAGAAGTCTTAAAACTATATAATAGAACTAATTTTAATATTCTACTATTCTTAAATGTTTGCTTGAGGAGTTTTAAATCTTAATTATGAATGCTTTTAATCATTCCTAATGACATTCATGTTAAATTTTATTTGCTTTTAACAGGGTTTGAAAGATGAGATTGAATCATTTGGTGCATTAAAAAAGAAAAAACTAGTTTTAACCTTTAAAAATTATTTATACTGTATTTAAAAGTTAAAGTCATCTTTTATTATCCTTGATGTCTCTAGTAATGTAGCGAAGAAGAATTTCTAAATCGTTTCAATCTTTAGAATTTTAAATGAGTATAAGAACTTATTTATAATTTGTGCATTTTATTACATTGCTAGTGATTTGGATGTTAATATATTTTATAGTTATGTTTTCTACTTAATATTAAAATTTTTTATATTATCTCATATATTTAATAATGTTAAAAACCGATCAATCTAACTAAACTACATCGATCTGATTTAAGTTGGATTGGTTTGGTTATCATATAATAGTGAATTGGATTGGTTTGAAAATTTTATTAACCGATTAAATTGGATTGATTAAAAAATATTAAAATCTGAATCAAATCACACTGAGAACACCCTTACCCCTAATGGTATGGTCTCAATTCAGCAATATCGACTCATGCAAAAACTCCCAAAAGTTACTTTTCCCCATCTTCCCTAATACTCCATTCATTCTAAAGTAATAGATGCTTTTTAATTTTATATTAAACATTTAGAAATAATTTCTATTTTTACCTCTATTACAAAAAAAAAAAAAAAAGAAGACTGAAATCACTATAGGATAGATAATTAAACTTAGGAGATAATGATAAGGTTAAAGTAGTGTTTTAAAAATCGACCTGAAGATCAAACCATTTTGATCTTTGGTTCTCGGTTTGGTTGGTTTAATCGGTTTAACCGTTCAAATCACCGATCAATTCAAATGAATAAAAATAATATTGTGTAGTATTACGACATGATGGGTGCACTGGTTCTACTGGTTCGTGACCTTGTCCATTGCGGAGGAAACGCAAGTTCGAGCATAGTCCATGTTAAAATGTAATTATGGTATTTTTAATTTTTAATGGGTTTTTTCACAAGTAAAATGTATAATATATATAATTTTTTAATTAATTTATATAAAAAATATAAA